AGATACTGACAGATCTCCGCTGTAACCGATAAGTTCTATCATAATAGTTCCGGCTCTGGGACGGTCTAAACACAAAAGCTGAAAGTGATGAAGAAGAGGTATGTAACAAAAGAATATAAAAAAGGATAGTCAGCGTTGATCGTCTCAAACCATCACACGTCAGTGACAGTTCCCTACCCGATAAATCGAGTTTCACTACTATACCCGTCCGATTCACTAGCAGGATTCATGTTTCTCCTTTGGATCGCACGCTAGGTACCTCAGAAAGTTCGTTCTCACATCCCACTCAGAAGCACATATCACCTGCGCTATCTAAGGATGAGACTCCGGTCTCACGTCCAGATACTCAAACCACGCTGACCTTGCATTCGGATGAGATTGCAGTCTCACGAGGTACGAGCTATACTACCGTCTCACGTTCCGGTCACTAGTTACAACTATCTGCACGCTTAAGCGACAAGCCTCAGTGAGCAACGCATAGGGATTAGGATTCTATCCCTTACTACATGCTTGCTACACCTTTTCGTCCTGAGCTCACACCTCCGACCTTTTCCTTGTTGGTACGGTCGACTTCAGTCAATCTTGGTGAAAGCTGGCCTGATCAGCGACGCTCTTGTCAATGGAATAAGTCGACATTTTGGTTTCGAATATGTGTGGTGTACGTATGGCCCCGAACTGGTCACTATGGTCACTTCTGGTTTCTTGGCTTAATATAGTCCCGTCCTATGTCCGCAGCGTTTCCTGGCCCGAGCGATTACGAGCGCAAGCTTCAGATTCTGTGCAAATCGCTCTAGTGTAGTAAGCCAACTTAAGCAGAAAATATGGGACGCTACTCCTGGTACCATCCTTCGTAAAAGACCTTCGGGGACAACTCGAGGATCAACGATCGTTTCCTGTTCGTCCACCCTTCCGTCCTACAATCGCGCGTTTGCCGATCAGTCCCAAGAACAAAATCACTATGGATCCAAAGTGTAAACTATTTCTAGAGGTAGGCTGCTGTAGTAATCTAATTTTATGAAGAGAACGCGACTGGTGTAATGGAAACACTTATTATTATATCCATTTGTACCAGTAATAGTTCTGTTGAACTTCTTTGCTTATTGCTATATGTACGTGCAAACTTTCTGTTTATGTTGCTGCCATTTTGGGTCCATTGTTTCTGTAATTTCGCCCCTCTTTTCTGGCATGATCTCGGCACTCTTTCGATACCACGAAATCGCCAGAAAATATATTCTTTACAATGGAATGTCTCTTCTTCTCTGTGACAGGCACGTAATTGGATTGTAGTGGTGATCATAGTCAACTGCAGCTCGCATCGCTACAGAAGGCTGAGGGCAGGGCTTGTTGGTGAATGCTAGTAGGCTCCATTATAGGTAACAGGGGTAAATAAGTAAGTAAGTCAGTTAGATAGAGTATACTAGCCAATTACAATAGAGGTTGAGTTGATCAATAATCTTGTTAGTTCTCAAAATTTTCTTAAATAAGTGTTTATTTACACTAGAAGTAGACTACTTAGAGTTCGCTGACATGCATACTTTGTGATCTGTTTCCTTCATGAAAGCACGACTGTTGAGATCTGTTTATTTTCCCAAGGCTGGCTATCGTATACCACCCCTAGGCAAGATTAATCGTCCATCCCAGTTCTTGATTACAATATGGGTCTCACGACTATATGTCAGCTGGAGCCTGCACATGCTCATTAGGCGAATCTACAAGAAGTCATGTGAATGGTGTAGTTTTTAATTTTCCGATACATGCTGCCTGGTTCATTATGATGAATGATTGTTATTGCAGTATGTATTCAGACAGACCGTTATATAATAGTCATAGATAAACAAGACTTGAAAACCTTGATAAACTACCGTGCGACAGATTTCTAGGGTTAAGTAACTCTGTGGTACATAACTAGAGCATTAGATGCCAGCGCACTGACTCTGTTCGAAAAGTCAGTGATGTGTTGATACAACTTCGAAAAATCTCAATTAAGTTTAGACTCAGCATAATAATTTTGCCATATGAAAAGAGGTTGGATGAGGTATCATTCATTCGTTGTCATTACTCCTGTTACCACAGTGGAGCATAGGCCACCGACCAGTATTCTACAACCTACTCTGTCCTAAGTTTCTCTTGCCAGTCCCGTCCAATTTTTGTTTATTCTTCTCATATCCTTCTCTATAGCTCTGCGTAATTCGTTCCTTGGCCTTCTTTTCATTTTTCCTTAAGGGTTCCATGTGAGGGCATGTTTTTTTGTGACGCAGTCGGGTGATTGCCATAATGTGCATTCTAGCCACTTCTAACGCTTCTTCCTGATCTCTTGCTCAGTTGGAATCTGGTTTGTCCTTCACCATGGTGTCTGGCCAACAAATCCGAAGTATTTTGAGAAGAAAACTGTTAATGAATGCTTGTATTTTCTGGATAATTTCTTTGGCAGTTCTCCAAGTTCCCGCCCCATAAAGTAGTACTGTTGGATTTCGGATTTGGTTGACAGTTGTTTGAAGTTCCAAATGTTCTTTAGTTGTAGAAATGCTCTCATCTTTTTACCGATGCGCGCCTTCACATTTGCACTAGATCCACCTTACCCGTCAGTGATGCTGCCTAGATATGTAAAGGTGTTAACGTCCTCCGAAGCATCTCCATCAAGAGTGATTTGTTTGGCGCATGTTGTGTTGTGTCGTAGAATCTTGCTTTTCCCTTTGTGTATGTTGAGACCTGTTGCTACTGAGGCTGCTGCTACGCTGGTCGTCTCCTCTTTCATTCTTGGTTGTGTTCATGAGGGAAGAGCCAGGTCATCTGTGAAGTCCAGATCGTCCAGCTGCGTCCTCGCAGTCCACTGGATACCGTGCTTCCCTCCAGATGTTGACGTCTTTATAATCCAGCAGATCTCCCGGATAAAGGGAAAGGGTGAGGGTAAGCAACCTTGCCTCACACCGGTCTTCACCTAGAACGAGTCTGCCAGCAGTCTATCGTAAGAGTTCTGCATTATGATGACTCTCTTCTCAACACATTATCAAATGCTTTCTCGTAGTCGATGAAGTCGATCTAGAGTGGTGAGTTCCATTCAGTTGATTGTTCCACAATAATACCTAATGTTGCGATTTGGTCGGTACACGATCGATCCTTACGAAATCCAGCCTGCTGGTTTCGAAGTTTGGCGTCTATGAAATCCTTCATTCTGTTTAACAATACCCTTTTGAAGACTTTGCCTGGTATTGAGAGGAGAGTGATGCTTTCGTAGTCCTCACACTTGCCGAGATCACCTTTCTTTGGTATTTTGATCAGGTATCCTTCTTTCCAATCTGATGGTACTTGTTCTTCATCCCAAATCTTGTTGAAGAGAATGTGGAATATTTTGCAGTTGCTGCTACCACAAGGCGGTGAATGTGATTTAGTTATAGTTTTTAAATAACTTTCTGACTAATTCGTTTTTGATATACCTTCATGTTTAATGTCTTCCGAAATAGAATTTATGAGGACACTGGGAAATTTGCAAGCCAGGACAAAGCACTAGTCAGTCGACTATCAGCTCCCCTACCGAAAAATAAACTAATCGAACTCATCACCCCCAAAACATGAATACAGTTCCATCTGTCGGCAGATCCTGAATAAATTCCGAGGCACCATCATGTAAATTCTCTTATCCTTCCGTTTAAATGTAGTTGAATTATCTATCATATCTTTCTGCAAACATCTTACTACTTGGGAAATGAACATGGACCTTGCCATTTTATTTATTACCTCGATAAGGCATACAAGTCGTTAGACTGATTGCTAGTTGCAGTTGACTACGGGTAGGATGGATTTTCATTAAGTTAACAAATGCCTCGAACACACTCATTGTGATTTCTTCTGTACCCCGCCTAGTAATGTGTTATGTATAGAACCCGCTTATTAAAGTACGATGAGCTAGACCAGTTTACTCTTCCATACCGATACTTATACGATGATATTTAAAACAAAAATTTGTTAGGCAGGACAGTTCTGTTATATATTTTCATAGGTTAATATGAACAAGGAAGTCAGATAATAAGTTGGGGTACAACAGAATGTAGTATTAACACTTGAGTGAGTGGACAGCTGATGAAAAATTCCAGTACTGCATTTGTGGTCGCGTAACTGTACATAGAGGCAGTAAGGAGTAGTTTGTGGGGCATGAGTTAATAAAACAGATTTCTTATCCAGATATTTAGGTGACTGTCAGCTCAACAGATAGAGCACGAATATCACCGAATCTGTCGGCGATTTATGGTTGATATCGTTTCTGTTTTCGAATTTCTTGCAAGAGGATGGTTATGTATCATTCAGTTGGCGTTTATTGTGTGCTCTGACTGGCAATTCAGAATCAGATCTAAAAAATTACTCTTAAACCATGCGGTTTGCTTTTTTGGCAAAACGTACAATTGAAAACAAGATACATTATCTTAAACTTGTGCCATCTAATGCGCATCCTCCTACATGTATATAGTGAGTTTCAGCAGTCTGAAAGGCACAAGAATATGTTCTTCATATCTATTGGGATTCATTCAAGGCTGTTTCGAATTCTGCTCATTTCATTAATGGCTTACACAGTTTGATGCACCTAAACACATAAGTAAGATATAAGAAATAAGTAATTACTGATGAATAAATCTGTTCACAGCAGTTCAGAAGGATGGCAGTTCCAAACTCACTAAGTGTCTGACATCTTTCACCTCCAATAAGATTAGCTACAGAAATTATCAATCACCAGAATCGCATTGTGCTATTCTTGTTTCCATGATTTTCTTATCCGAATATATTAGGCTCACCGGAGAAACTAGTCAACCTATGCTTTACTGAAAATTCTACTGAGTAACAACCAGACTGATATTAACACTAGAAAAGAAGAAATACTGTCGATGTTATTAGCAACGACTTAGATGGTTTTTAGATATCAACAGTCTATGTATATATCTGTAAACTGGAAAACGATGCTAGTCTATACACAAACAAACTCCCTCTGGAACCTCAAAAACTAGAATGAACGGTGCCAATTAGTCCTGTCAAGGTCGTGTGTGAGAAAGCGCGGTTAGTTTGTAAGTGGTTTGCTTTTCTACGTTGTGGTCACAATCAGTATCAAGCCTTTCATGTGAGTCTTTAGATTTTTAATTCAAAATTTTAAAAACGAAATCATTCTGTGTTGATGTAAAATACCATTATCAGTCCAAACACTGAACATTCATTTCTTACTTTTAAGGTTGGAAGGGATATTTTCAGTTTATTGAAATCGTCTGAAGATAGAAACGTAGAGCGTTCTGGATAAGTATTTAAAGTATAGCATTAAACTCGGAAGAGTGAGAGAAACTCGAGTTTCTAAGTAGGCACATTGAAATGAACTCCTATCCGATGGTTTATATGAGATCATTGTGTCGCACAAGATTTCAACCCAATCAAAAAACATTAAGGTGCTACTTGTCTAATCATATTAATTTCCATCAATCCTCTATTATTTTTCAACGAAAAAATATTGTTGAGATTTTACTCAGTTGACGGACTCACTGAACTCTTGAGGGATTGGTTTTCGGACTACGTTAAACAAGTGTCTGATATAAATAAAGAAACATGCCAGTTTAATGAAAATTTTGACAAAATAGGCTCCAGAAAACGGTTTTTTCCCAGTTTAAAATGATGACTTCACAATTACTCTCAAACAGTGTTCACAAGTCCAGAATCAGTAACAACAAGCTGTCAGCGGACTGCTAACCTTTGCGTCGGGTGATAAAACGTATGGTCTTAAAGCGTCATCGTCTGGTATTGTGGATATATTATGGAGGAAATTTCGACAATCAAGATACTTTGATAACTATCACCAACCCATGTCTTCAAATCGTTTGTCCGTATCACGTGAATAAAATTGTTAATAAAAAATATTTTGGGCTTTTAAAGTATTGATATTTTGATAAGTAACATGTGAAAAGTAGTTTTTAGGCTTTTAGTCACTCTTATAGTCCATTCAGTAGATAGCGGTTTTGGAGTGGTCCACGCGTTATTTTCGTTTTGTATAGTCTACGGTATCTTACGGCCACAGTAGTGTTAAAATCTTCAATACAGTCCAAATAGCTTCTTAAAGCACTTTCATAGATAGTGTACGAACAGTTTTTTTTTTAATTTCCCTAGTTATCTTTGTGTACTTATTCATAATATTCCTAAGTTCTAGTTAGTGATATTAAAATATCCTCTTATTACGATAAAGAAAAGATTAGTAGGATTATGAAAAGAAATATCTTGTACCTAATACAGTCTTATTCAGTATTCAAATAGTATGTAGATGGTTTTAATCTTGGAAAAACAGGTATTTATTGTCGCTTCTAACTTCGAAATACCAAAGATCAAGTTGTTATAGAGGATTAAAGGTGTTGCTTAATAAGAACCGATTTCTATTTGTGAAAAAATTGGTTTTTTCTGCTAAAAGTCTGTTCAATGAGATTTGGCGCCAGTTATCTTAGTCTAGACTGTACTGGCTATTCTTGGTTTTACTATCCCCAGTATTCTAATTGCCTTCCGAGGATCTTTTGTTAGTCGTTTTCTTACATCGTGCTAAAGTCTTTTATTCACAATCCTTAGGTTTAGCTTCTCTTTTAGTTCATTCTACCAGTATACATGAGCAATTTATTTTCGTCTTTACAGTTTCATGTTCAGTGATCAGTAGCACTAAAAGATGCATATGGGTTACAAATACCTTACACCTTTGTAAATTAGTTTCAAACAGTAGGTTATTGGTCAGATGGTGAGGGCTTTTTTATCGAACGTAGGTCAATGAAATCAGGATCTGTAAAAATCAGGATTATTTTTAACCTTTTTTTCAACTAAATAAATCCACATTCACCCAATTGTTTCTTATTTCCGTTGAGTTTTGCGTATGTTCGTATGTTTTTTCCAAATAGATTTTTGTTGGAAGGTGATTAAAGCGAGCTCAAACGCATGTGAAATCGGTCATTAAGTATCAGTTATCAGTTTAGAAAAGAAATTATTATTTCTTTCTATCAAATATCACTGTTGCATCAGACTGGTTTCTGTCTAAGTTTAAGCAGCTAGACATTATCTCCAAATCCTACTCAATGTTTATAGCTATGGTAAAATAATGGGTAATTGTTCACTGTGTTATATTTGTTTTGCCTTTAGATTATTTTAATCGTAACAGGTTTACAGCTTCCATAGTTTTTGTTGTTGCTGGCTAATCAGTAAGAGACATGGTTTAATTTACCTTCGGAAAATGAATACTGATTTCTTTAATCATTTATGACATTTTAACTGTGAAACATAGTTGAAGCTAAAACTGGGGTGTAATTTTGTCTTAGTATGATATTTTGCCAAGAAACCGTTTTAATAAAGGCATAGTTGACAAACAGCAAATTAACTGACGGATGATTTCAGTTAAAATAATTATTATTTAAACACATAAACATCGGCACAGAGAAGCAGTTAAATATTTATGCAACATTTGTAAGTGTGCTGGAATGTAGCCTTGGTGCCCACACCGAGATAAGTGGTTTTGTTAGATGACCACTCTTCGAGCCTTTGACCCGAAAGTCTAATGCACAATTCAGTGGAGCAACATCAGGAGATGCAGCCCCATGGTAGCCGGCGGCCAGCAATAGGTTCATACGCCATTTGTTTCTTCAGGATCCTGGAGTTTTCCTTTTTAGATGGATTCTGTTTCTACCAATTCGTTTAAAGCTCCGGACACTTGCTTTTCATTGTTTTGATTTCACAAACAACACTCCCTCTACGAAAAGGCACTGAGTAGGACTTTCTTGGCAGTAGACATACACGCATAATCATGTGAGAGCATTTGAAGAGAGTGCATTCTCCCTACTCTCGGCTGTATCAGGGCATTCGGGGCATATTGATGGTGATATTAGTCAAAGACGTTTTTAACTTCATTTCCAAAGTTAAAAATATCTTACTAGATGTCGTATCTTTATTTACCAACGTGCCACAAGTCGAAACGACTGAGTTTATATGTGCGCGAATATCCGAAAACCAAATTAACATTGGAATCCGTGAGGATAATATGAAAGAATTTTTCTTAAGGTGTACGCTGAACGTTCACTTTTTCCCCAAAAATAAACAAATAAATGGAGTAGCCATGGTCTCACCTCTGGGCCCAATTTTAGCTGATTTCTTTCTATTAAAGTTAGAAAATAGATGCTTTAGTGAGGCTATCAAGAAACTAGACCTATATTGTCGCTACATCGACAACACTTCGTCGCTGATCAGAGTACCAGTAAAGAAGATCTAGAATAGTTCGACAGGGTACATCCGGCAATCACTCTGCCTGTAGACCCTCCAGGGCTCCTGCCGGTCGCAAGTCTGGATAAAGGAGGAGAGTTGGGCTTGGGGTTGGCGACACCATTTTGTAGAAAAGTAACTCGCTAAAAAACAATAGCAAGAAAAAGTGGTTTAAACCATTTAAACTCTGCTCTGGGAGTTAGGTTTTCATTTAGAAGAGTTATGACATCTTATGACGAAAGCCTAATTCCTTCGAAAGTCACGAGGTTGATGCCCCTTCTGACAACCGGAGCCCTTCCGCGGTGTGGGCAGCCGGGAAGTAACATCCGCCCTCATACCCACAAAAGCACACGAGACCAAATCGATCACAATCAAATCCTTTCTATACCTCTCAATAACTATTGTTCCCACGACCGACCCTTCTTTCGATCGTTTATCATCTCGCGCCAATGAAGCAAACGGTCTCCTGAAACCCCGCTCTAAACTACATATTGGAACTTTTATTGTTCTAAGCTTGTGCCAAATAGGGCAACAGGCTTCATTAACTAGAACTCTGGAATCCCGGGCGATCGATGTATATTGCATCTCCGAAACGTGCATACAAGATCCGAGTAAAATCATCAATTCGGTCTCACCTAGTGCAGGTAGAGACAACAAGGTTTACGCTTCGTGGTTCTGGAAGCCTTGATGCCGCTTTTCGTAGCCTCGCCGGCGTAGGTATATATTATTAAGTCCTAGGGCAGAACAAGCTCTCTTAAACTGGATCCCGATAGACAGTCGCCTATGCGCTGTCCGACTAAACGAGACGGTACGTACTTAAAAGGAAAGGGACACTCGCCCTTGCCTCTTCGTTGTATCTGTCTACGCTCCCACTGACTGCACTTCAGACGACATGAAAGATAAGTTTCATAGAAACCTCTTTAATTTTCTCCAAAATGATAAGCGCTCTGATATAGTAATGATGGTTGGTGACTTGAATGCTCAAGTAGGTAGACTCAGTGAAAAGGACAGACACCTGGGCGGATCATATAGCGCCGCGGCTAATCGGACAGATAATGGCGACCTTCTGCAGCAGCTATGCTCAGAGTAAACATTTCTTGACCTGGCGACCCCCAAAGTCGTCTCAACGTTGAATCCAACTAGATTACATTGCCATCAGTCACCAATGGAGAGGCTCTATTGAAGACTGTCGCTCATTCTGCAGCACTTGTTTAGATTCAAACCATACTCTAGTGCGAGCTCCTATTTGTTTGCGGCCTACTAAGCGTAGGAAAGGCACCGCAAAGAGACTTCTTAGGGTTGTGTACTTAATGATTACAAAGCTAAGAATATATTTCAGGAACAATTAGGAAAAAAGTTAGGCAGCCATGTAAGTGATGCCCATCCCGAGACAGCTTGGAATGATATCCAGAAAGCTGTGGAAACAGCAGTGATATCTGCTAGTAAGGTAAACCATAAGGCTATAATGAAGCCGTGGATCTCAGTAGCATCTAGAGAACTGATGGATGCTCAAAAGCTCATCCCGTTTGGCTCTGATTACGATGAGGAGCGGAGTCAGCTTAGGCGCAGGCAGATTAAAAGCCCACGCAATGATCGCAAACAGTGGTGGGTAGCGAAAGCAAGGGAGATGGAAAAGGCAACAGCGATAGGCAACAGTAGACAGCTGTTCAGACTTATCAAGGAAACCGGTATTAGGAATCTGACTGTAGGTGAGACTATTTCGGGAAAGGATAGTCTCATTATTCATTCTCAATCCAAGAGATTGGACCGATGGTCCGAGCACTTCAGGAATCAGTTCAACTTGCCTTTAACCACACTTTGGTTACCCACGATTTCCAGTCATCCTGAATGGCAAATCAACTTCATGAAGTTGAGAAAGCTACAGGGGATCTAAAACGAGGGAAAGCTGCTGGTCATGATAGATTGACCCCTGAGATTTTTAAGGATGGTGGTCCAGTTTTAGCAGTTAGATTGACTGAGATCTTTGGTAGAATCTGGGAACTGGACGTAATCCCATCTGACTGGTCTCAATCACTAATTGTCCCAATCTACAAGAAAGGACAAAACTCCTCTTGTGACAATCACAGGGGAATAAGTCTAACTAATATAGTTTCTAAATTGTTAGCCACGGTTATCTTTAGACGCCTAAGTAGAGCTCGTGAAGAGCAGACTAGAGAAAACCAAGCTGGTTTTCGATCTGAACGTGGCTGTATAGACCACATTTTAACATTACAACAGTTTCTAGAACACCCACACATATGGGCGTTTGACAATAGTTGTATTGCTACACCTTAAGGCGGGATTTAACTGAGTAGATCGTGAGGTTCTGTGGCAGTGTCTGTCATAAAAAGGTGTACTAGAGAAGTACATTAATCCTATAATGCAGTGTGACAACCTGAACTGATCTACGTACGTACGAAGTTCTACGTTGTAACTGACTGACTGACTGACTGACTGACTGAAGTTCAAAGTCTAAATCTGATCCCAGGTACTTTCGTTTGAGCGACCGGGTAGTATCATCGACCTTGATCACACTTAAGTTGTAGCTCATACTCATTCTAATTAAATTTACATATCTTATTGTTGGATTCTTCTAAAATTCACTTTTTTTTTCTATTACTATCACTATACTTTATAGTTTAAAACAACAATATTTTCTAAACAACAACTGCAGCAACAATAACATTGGACTCTATAAACAGATTGTTCAATTCTTAATGGTATTACTATCATCATTTAATTTATTATCCAAAAGTTCAAATCATCTTTTACGATGTACATTTTCAAAATCAGCAATAAATTTTACTTTATTTAATCGACGTAATCCATTCACTACTCGTGATTCTTTCAAACGACGTACATATTTATATTATACATTATCACTTGGTATAATTATGACTGGTTTCGGTTATGCTTCTGTTCCATTATATCGAGTGTATTGTAGTGTAAGTAAATTCAAGCTTATTTATTTATTGATTTAATTTTTTGAAATATATTTTTTTTTTCATACGAAATAATTAATTTAAATGAAATTACTTATTTGTAAATAATAGGGACAGTTACAATTTAGTACTGATTTTTCAATCAAGGATAAAATGCATTATAAATTCATTTATTAAATATATTGATTTATTCTTATCTGCTACTGCTACTGGGGATCGGTAAAGCAAGGACTGCATTTCTACAATTGAAAAACATCTGGAACTCCAAACAAATATCAATCAACACCAAAATCAGGATTTTCATTATAAATGTCAAGACAGTTCTACTGTATGGAGTGGAAACTTGGAGAACTATGAAAGGCATCATCCAGAAGATATAAGTTGTCTTCTCAACATACTTCGGATTCGTTGGCCAGACACTATCAGCAACAACCTACTGTGGGAGAAAACAAACCAGATTCCAGTGGAGGAGGAAATCAAGAAGAACCACTGGAAGTGGATAAGACACACACTGAGAAAAGCACCGAACTGCATCACAAGACAAGCCCTCATTTGGAACCTTCAAGGTCAAAGGGAAAGAGGACGGCCAAGGAAATAGAGAAAGATATGAGAGGCATGAACAAAAACTGGAAAGAACTGGAAAGGGAAGAGTTGGTTGGAGAAAACTGGTGGGTGGCCTTTGCTCTATTGGGGGTAGCAGGCGTAAGTAAGTAAGCTACTGCTACCCATTTCAACATTAGTGTGGGCATGATGTTATGTCACCAAAAGTAGTGGCCACATTAAAATTTAATCAATATAATTCGATTTGAACTTGTAGGACTATAAAAAAATATGACATTGATATTACTAGTCAATCATTAGTTAGTTGTCAATATTTCAATCCTGTAGAGTTGGTCAGTCTCAACTTGAATAGCTGAGCGGTAACTTATTAGACTATGAAAGTGAGTAGCAATGGTTTGAATCCCATACAGAGCATAATTAACTGGAACATTTTAGATAAACTTTATCAGTGGGTTTCCTGTTAACTTCTCCTAACCACCAAACAACAAATTGCTGTTCTGTGCAAAAATATATTTACAGTTTATCAATCATTAAGTTAACTGTTTCGGGTATTTGTTTATCTCTTAGTTTGTTCTAATACATTTTGTTTTGTTAGACCAGACTTTTTATACCATATGTGGTTAACAAGTATAGTTTCTGGGTGGTTACACGAACATTTCATTAACAATTGCTAATTCTTAAGAGTTTGCTCATTACTCCATTGTTAATATTCATGACTAAAATAAAATCAATCTTTGTTTGCATATGTATATCACGAGGGAATACTTCGATGTTGTAGTTCCTAGTATATTTGAATTGCGGCTAGCACTTCCTAGATTCTATTCATACCCACATTCTAAATACACTTAAAAATATCAGTGGGTAATCCTTAAGTTTGCTTTTTTAATCCAAATTAGTATAGGCATATGATGTGCTCACTGTAAATTGGTTTTAATGAGACTATTCCCTGAGTTCTAATGAAAAGCCTTGATTAGTAGAGTTCATTCAGGTTGTGGTTACCTAGCAGTAACGTTGGTGGTTAACCAATATGTCAAATCGATTGAAATTATATATGTAAATCATTAGATATTAACTTGGCAGTCTAAAGACTAAGTGCTCGTTGAAAGACAAATTTTCTAATGGTGGGGTCGTGGGCATGTCCCATACTTAAGCTTGTTGCCCCCCTCCGACTAACTGTTACCTGAGCACACCTCTTCAGCTTTTGCCAATTACTATTCATGTTCTTGATATCTGCTTCTTATTCCCGGCTTTACGTTCTTCAGTCTTTCTTTTTTCTTTTCACCCTGAGTATACCAAGTTAAGGCTTGTTTTGAGATACGGTTTAATGATTTCCGCAATGTGTATCCTATGCACCTCCAGCGTCTTTCTAATCTCAATCGGTAAATTAATTGTTTTCTGCTGCAGTAGATCATTATTGATGGTGTTTAGCCAACAGATATGGAGTATTTTGTGTAGATAGTTGTTTATAAATATTTGTACTGTTTTGATGATTTCAGTTGTTCTTCCAGTTTCAGAATCATAGAACTGTTCTAACGTTAGTTTTGAAAAATTTGAATTTGGTTTCGGTCCCAGATACTCTTCTGACATAGGAATACCGCCTCTGCTTTGAAATCTGCATCAGATCTTCCTTATTTATCAATGATACTGCCCAGGTGTGTAAAACCTTCCACATCTTACAGAGCTTCGCTATCAAGCATGGTTTGGTTGGCGCTCTCTGTGTATTTAAGGACCTTAAGTTTTTACTTGTGAATGTTAAGGCTTATTTCTTCGGAAGCCAATGATACAATTTCTGTCTTCATTTAACTTTGTTGCTATGTATGCATTAAAAGGGCTAGGTCCTTTATGAAGTCCAAATCATTTTGCATTCCTTCTCCTGAGGTATCGAGGTTTTCATAATCTAGTCAACAATCAGAAGAACGAGGAAGGATGCAAGTACGCAGCTATGTCTGAGAGTGTCTATCACTTGGAATGCATTTGTGAGCTTCCGTTTATGCACGACTTTGCAATGCAGTCCCTCTTAAGAGCTTCATATTTTGATAACGATTTCCCCACGTACTTTACAGCGTCGAAGAATATTCCACAAGTTTTCCTGTTTATTCTGTCGAGTTTCTCAAACTCTAGGGAGTTGATATATAGTGATGAGCTCCATTCAATTGGTTCTTCAATGATGATTCGCAGTATCGCGATTTAGTCAGGACATGACCTATCCTTATGAAATCCAGCTTTTTGATCTGGGAGATAGATGTCCACAGGATCTTTTATACGGTCCAGTTCTAAATCTTCTTGAATAGAACATGGAACATCTTTGCATTTACTTCTACATCTGACTTCAGTACTTCGGCTGGTATGGTGTCTGATCTTGTTGCTTCACTACCCTTGATTTGTCCGATAGTGTTGCTGATTTCTGCTGTTGTTGATAGGGTATCATTTATAGGGATGTCTGTGTGGGCTGCTTGGATTTCTGATGGGTTCAGTGCAGATGGTTTATTCAATAGCCCTTCAAGGTGCTCTGCCCGCCTGTTCTGCTACTCTTGAACCTCAGTGATTCATCTATCTTCTTTGTTCTTGACTGGTCTTTTGGGTTAACGCTATTTTTCGGCAAGCTTCTTGTTTGTAATACATGGCTCTCTCATGTTTTCTTTTCTTACAGGCTTTTCTGCTTTTGTTGCTGGGTCTTCTACATATTTCCTCTTGTTAGCTTTAGTTCGCTTCCTCACTCTTGTATTTACTTCTGTATATTCAACCTATGCCTTAGCTTTCTCTGCTCTTTTTTGCTATTGTTAATTGTTGTTTTTCCGTTGATGAACTTTCCTAGGTTGTCTATATAGGCCCATGAATCACTCTAGTGCTTGTTGAGGTCCATCATCTGGCGCGTTATGATTATTGCTTCTTTATTCTCTTTCCATTTGTTCTCCTTGGTAGTTTCCTCCTCTTTTCACAGATTTTGTAGGGTTTGAAACTTGGTGCTGAGAGCTATCTTAAAGTTGCTAATTTCTTTGGCATCTCGTGGGATGTATTAAACTTTTGTTACACTGTTTTTACAATTGTTCAATACTTGTTTAGCTTTAGTCCTGAAGCCACATCAGCTCCTCTCGTTCTTAAATGGACTGGCTTTCTCAACTAATTAGTGTACTTAACATTTTTCCGATCAACAATTAAATATTCATTATAAAGCAAAGGACGTTATCACTGAAATTCTGCGTCAAGAAAAGTGACACTGGTCTTGAATAATTTGTTAAATAGGTGAGATAGTTGAAGTAGCCCAGAGTGGTAATTTTACGCACGGAACTAAAGATTTGTATTTTCATGTTGTTAATGCGAAGGTCGTTTTAAGATAACTCATTAGTCAGATACTTGGGTATAAGCCACAATTTATACATGGGAAGTGGTGATGATACTACTCGGTTGCCCAAACCGAAGTAGGTCGAGCGGAGTTCGGACCTAAGACATCAAGGACTCCAGTTGATCAATCTTTTTTTAGAATGTGTGCATCTTAAGCGGATTGCTTTAACATTACCTATTAGTTTATGTTAACACAGTGGATTTCAGGGCTAGCGTTCTGTTTTATTTGTGTTCTGGGTTCGGGTCTCGGCATGAACATCAAAAAACTAAGATGCAGGTGAATCCAGATGACACAAGTCCCTGACAAGAAAAAAAAACACATCTTCTGGAATCCACTAACACAGCCCTTATCCAACTTTAAAATTTTATTCACATACAAAATCTTCGATTAAATTAACCTAATTATGAATATTATTTGTCAGTTGAAAAATAATTAAGTGTGAAATTTAAGTTCACGAAACACTTGTTGATGAATCACTTCTGTTTTTATAGTAACAGAATGAAATGATATCAATTTAAACAGTGAGTTTTGATAATCATTATTCAGATTTACAGAACAAGTAAGTTTAAACAAAGATAGTCTGTTCATCATCTTGATTTCTTGTAAACTAGGCGTCATATTAATGTCAGTGCTCTAAAAAAACTTAACTGAGTACCATCGTAGCTCGGTCAGAAGGTACCTAGAGAATCGACTCGTCATCGCGAAATTGACTTCATGCACCAGAAAAGAGATAATCCTATGATAAGTGGAAAACATTTCAGAAAACGCCAAGAGGGTTTTACAACCTTTGCGAATCGATCTCGTTTACAAATCAACGCAATTACTTCATACCATTTTATGCAGACTGTACCACTTGTGATAAACATTACACTGGATAAAGAGGACGTCCCCCATGACTTGCATACACATAAACTATCAGTTGTAGTGGAAAAACACCAAATTTCTGGATCAAGGAAATACTAAGAATAGTAAAGAATTGTTAAAAGCTTGGCATTCAGATTAATTGGCAATCGATAGGTAGTTCGATATAGACCCACACACACACACACACATACACACACACACACACACACACACAAGAGGATCAATTAACCACATATTTGAGAAGTTAATCGAACAAGACAGTAAACATGCACGAATAAAAACAATGAAACCTATAAAGGCAGACTATCACCGATAACATCATCAAAACGAATTGATTCAACGCATGTCTAAATGTCTTACAACAATGAAAGCTATGCAATGAAGCCATTATCCAGCTCAGTGAAGTTGAAAAGCATCCCTCGTGAACTACAAATGTTTCTCTGTCATTTTTTTCACTATTTTTATTTAGTTTTTATTTCAGTAATAATTTTTTCGGTTTTGTACTTTTTTGTTTTTTTTAAAAAAAACAACAGAAATACGGATCTGGTACAAATACATCTTTGGCAATGGCTAGAAATGAAAAAATCAGAACTATGAAACCAATTAGAGATCGTGAATTCACTGTGTATTTTGCCGCTGATACACATTCATCAATGAAATGGAAATTTAAACCTTCACAAAAAGCTGTAAGTTGTTGTTATTGTTGTTGTTGATTTTTTCTCTTTTCATGTGAGTTTTCAAATGGAATATCATTGTATACATATGTTAGTAGGATATAGATTGGATTAAAGCATGATTGCGTTACTGCACGCTGATTGGCTCTTTCTTATCCAATCAGCGCTAGTCGATACTGAGGCAGGGAACATTCTAGAATCTTCTCATGTAAGAAAACTATAAATATACTAACGTCTTTTTCGTTTGGACCTTGTGTCTTCCATCTAACCTTGTTATTGGTACATAATCTATTTCCTGCTCAACCGTATTCTGATTTTGGAAGAACGTCTCGAGTGAATCGATATCCGAGATTACCAAGCATTAGGAATAGCTGGGTTGTAATAAAGAGAGAATTATAAGAACATATTTAGCAGCAGTAGGTTTTTTTCTCAATCGGATGTAAGTAACACAATTTTTCTGCCTATATTATTAGTCAAGAAGGCATCGTCAATGGGATGTACACTCATCTTATTGTAACCATGTTAATTAAAAACTTGAAATGGTAGGATTAACTAATTGAACGAAGTTGGAATGTCTTGAATTTCAAGAATGTTTCACTCTTCATTAAGATTTATCCACGTATATAGTTTGCACAGACTAACGGACAGTTCCTTGATGGAGATACTCTCTTCAAGGCTTTGAAGTACTCTTTTGTGCTCGGAACTTTATTTACTAAGGAAACAATTGAGGTACCTGATCTCCTAGATGACGTATATCCCTATCACAAGCATATGATAAATTGAAAACAGGTAATTATCCAAAGAACCACTACCTCAAATGAAGAAAGTTTACAACAGTTACTGACACATTATGAAGTGGATGATAGATTACTATCACAATGTGACAACTGATTGGCTCTTCTATAGTCGATTTATGTATCCGACGACACGTAACTGCTTCTCAGCCATTAAATCTCGAAAACCTAGCTGGCATAGCAGGTCTTGAGATGGTGGAGAAGATTTGTAGCTCAGGTGGATGATTGTGGTGGTGGTTTTTTGGTTCTTTGAGCTGGGTGTTTTGGTTGTGGAGCTTTCATTGTTCTTCTAAACAACATCATCAGCACAAACTTCATATAGATAAGGTCTTATAAGTAACTCCAGGTTGTGCACCATATACTGAAACGCGGTTAATGATTTAACAGCTTTCTTAGCTAGTTCTAGCATTTCTACATCACCCGCAGAAATAGCTGAGTGACTTACTTGTACACTACACCACAACCTTGACAATGATGCAATAAAAATCGATATATATATATAAACAATACATGTTGAAGATCAAAACAATATTTACATGAAACATCACAAAGATAAAACTGAATAGTTTGTAAAAAGATTTTTTATCTTTTTTTCTAAATGTCTACAGTTATTACTAGAGCCTATTGTTTGATACATGTAAATGTTTGTTTTTTTAGCAAAATATTGAGTAGAGATAAAGTTAGAGAATTCTATACTTGAGTTATTAATAGTTCACTGTCAATTCATCCGGTCAGAATATTTGCACTCTGCAAGTAGTGAGAAACAGTTAGTTAGTTAAACTACTTTAATCTTCCCTAGTGTTAAGCAGACCAATCGTAAGAAAGGAAGAGAGAGAGAGAGAGAGAAAAAGCAAAGTAAATTACATTTTTTTTCTTCTGTACTCTTAAATTGTGAACAGTGTGCACTGAGTTTTTCCATTTTTTTTCCTTTTTTTTGGTTTCAATGTGACAATCTTATATTAACTTATCAATATAATAATAATATTTTGTTTATAGTTAAAAGTTGTACCAGGTGAAACAGCATTAGCATTTTATACAGCCGAGAATCCAACTGATAAACCAATTGTTGGTATTGCTACTTATACTGTTATACCATATGAAGCATCAAAATATTTTAATAAAATACAAGTAAGTGATGATTATTAATTTATGTATATATATATAAAAACAATGAGTCAATTTTCATTATTTTTCGTTGTTTTGTTTTTTTGTTTTCTGGTTGAATGAACTACTGGTAAATGAACTTGTTTATTGTATGCATAAAATATAATAGATATATTTTTCAAGAAAAAATGATATATATTTCTAGAAAGGGAAAAATTCAGTCAATCAGTCAGTTAGACAGTCAACAACAATGTAGAACTTCGTATGTACGAACGTACATCAGTTCAAGTTGTCATATCACGATAGCACAGAGATGCAATTTTTGATTCAAATCCCATAGTGGTAGAGATAGTAGAAGTAATAATGGTAATAGGGAAGATTAGGATTTGAAGATAATATTCAAGAAGTATAATTTAGTGAGATAAGTTTAGGAAGACAAAGGCAGAGGTGTTGAAGAATCCAGAAGATTAGGATTTGAGAGAACATAAAGAGTGGATGCAACTGCGCCATTGCAAACGATTTTGAACCATGTCATTCAAGGTCTCGAACCATCGGTGAATTTCGTCTCATGGATCCAAATCAGGTAGTCTACACCTGCCAACATTATTCAGTCCGGTTGTCAGTGACTTCATGGATTTGTGCCATGTGTTGGTTTTGCTGCCCGTAGGTTTCTTCTAACTTACTCATACATCAGAAAACATGGCTCGACGAGGCAGTCGGTGGTTGGGCATACGTAACCAACCACCTCAACTGATGAAGTTTCGATACTTCATCTATTGATTTGCCATTCTTACCTAGTACTCGTTTCCTAACAACAGCATTGCTTACTCGGTTGTCCCACGATACATGATCCATGCTTCGGAGACATCTATGATCGAAGTCAAGCAATCTACGAATATCCTCTACTCTTACCGGCCATGTTTCACAGCCATATAGTAGGACGAGGCGAACTACTCCTCAGCAAACCCGTCCTTCGTTTGGTAGACGGATATCACACCTACGCCGTAAAGGATTTGAGGGAAAAAGTGGGAAATTAAGTGTATGACTGGAAGTGTAGTTAAACGGTTTCAACATAAAGTTATATACTAGTGTAATATTTCAGTTTCATTTATTTAAATAGGACATATCATATCGATAGTTGTTTATATATAGATGTAGTAGTGGCTTCTTGTTTTAAAAACAACTACAAGAGTAAATTTCATAAAAAGATTTGTTTTCTCTTTAGCCTATATCATACAATCTAATCATTTTTTTTAGATAATTAACAGATAAAAGGGAATTGTCTATCAATAATAAATAAGTTATTTGAAATGTAAAAGAAATACAATCAAGATGAGTGTTTTCAACGTTTGGGCAGGTTCATCTTTCTTTTCTGATGATAATTCTGATAGAGAGAATTACCAAAAACAAGGATTTACATTGATTTCTCATAATGAGATTTGTCAGATGACATTTTAGGTTCAATGAGTTATGTAATCTCTCTTAGATATGAAATATGATGAGAGTTGTAATGAACTAACAGATTCGAATCCTATACAACTGTATTTCATGTTCATAGACTTACCACTTTTGGTATGGAAGTTGCAGGGACAAAATTCATGAAATTTATCCAGTTAGCTTACAACGGATATAGTTGTTTTAGACATTACTTATGTACTAATACAACTACAGTACGATTGATTCATATGTTCTTGTCGGTTTCACTTTGAAATAATTAGTTAGTGGTTGAATCATTCAGCTAAGCCAAGTAAATAGGTGGTCACTTGTTGAAACCATCCTTCTACCCTACTTTGTTTTAGATAACCGAGTAGTTTCGTTAACTCACCCTTTAAAAATAAACTAAATGCTTTAAAACTGAGTACCTGTACAGTCCAAGTGATGTAAGTTACTATATCATTTTGTATACTTCATTGTCTATAGCCTATATAGTATAGTAGTATAATTTATTAGTATGCAGTGAACCTTGGCTCATCAACAACCTGAAACGTAAACTCTGTTACGCTTATCTACCAATTTCTCTATTATTATTATTATTATTATTATTATTATTGTGGTTCTTTAATTAAATTTATGTACAAAATAATTCTACTACCAATCACAGTGTTTTCTTTTTTTTTCTGGTTTTCAGTGTTTTTGTTTTGAAGAACAACGTCTTAATCCACATGAACAAGTAAGTGTTCATCATCTTTCTTCTTTTTTTTTCATTCTCATAAAAAAAATTTTCTTATATTTTAAACTATGTCGAATAGACTGGAAATGTGTGTATGCATTGAGAGAGAAGAGTTAGGGACAAAAAAGTTTTTCATCAAATTCTTACTTTGATTATTTTTAATGGGATTATTCCCAGTGAAGTAATTTCAATCATTACCGAAAATGATATGAACATCATACTTGTTGAACAAGTTGATAGCTAATTAAAGTCAGTAACTGTTACGCATTTGATATGCTTGAACTATTACGAGTTCACCTTGGTCAGTAAACGAGAACGAGACAATGATCCAGTGACATGATAGGCTAATCTAATCCGAGCGTCTCAAAACCCTATTAAATAGAAGGAGACTTTATATGAAGTAGAAAATGTATTCGACAAGCATCCAGAAAGTACGAGGTCCGAGTCCAGAAGAGAATGAGGATCTCGAACTAAGGATCCGGGTCACAAAACGTTACAAATAATGCATATTTATACAGTTAGGTCAAATAGGAAACAACATTGAAGTCTGTGACATGTATAGTTAGGACGACCAATAAGAATTGACCAATAGAATTAAACTTACCAATAATCCTCTTAGGATATTTGGTGAATATCCTAACAGTACTTAACTGAATAAGGGGCATTACTGGTGTTACTAGGTTCCAGTTCAAATGTGATTATCAACACTTAGAGCTGCAGGTACAGTCAACTAATGTAGAGTTCGAAAATGAGACAGTAATCTTGTTTTTTTTTGAATTACACTGTTTATCAAAATTCATCGATTTTTCATTTAGATTAAGTTTTCAACTTCATATTCGTCTACTTCGATTCGATCAATCGGATAATCTCAGCAACCTTATGCCTGATAGAACAAAAATGTGCTTTTCAAAGCCTCCTAACATATTTAGTTTTTAAATCGAATCATCTACAACTCATTTGTTTATTTATTCCTTTTGATATGCTTGGATGCTCTTAAGAGTTCATCTCACTTGGTAAATGAACGGAGACAATGACTCAGTGACATGATAGGCTATTCTAATCCGTTAGTCCCATCTCCGGCTAACTAGAGTAACAAGTCTTGATAAGGCTTAGAAAGTGTATTCTACAAGCACCCAGGAAATACGAGGTTGACAAGCACACAAATCGAGCTTATTATTTATACAATGATAGCAACGCCCTTGGGAGAGCTACTAAATAGCGTACTAAAATAATCCATTATCCAATGACAGTCAACGACTTCCCGAGGGAGAAATATAAGCTGAAAGTCAACTGGTGCGAGCAAAAACATGAAAATTCAAAATTTCAAAATAAAATGACAAAATTAGGACTTTTCCAAGTCCCCAACACTTTTACTCTCTGTGTTATAGTTAAAAATTCTATCTACACAACTCTCTCTAAACTTATCAAAGTTAAAAATTAAATATAAATGTTTATTTCATGATATGAAATATGAAAGCAGTTATTAGTTTTATGCATTATATACTTTGAATATTTATTTTTTTTTACACACATTATTCTTATTATTCTATTTCATTTTCAGGTTGACTTACCTGTATTCTTCTATCTTGATCCAGAAATTAATTCCGATCCTCGTTTAACAAAAAGTTCAGAAATTTTATTAAATTACACTTTCTTTGAAGCTATGAAAAGTAAATTTCATATTCCTGGAATTACAACTACTCCAAGTTATGATGATACACAAAATTCGGAAATTCTACCTACAATAGTAGCTAGTTAGTTAGTTAGTTAATTAGAGGAGTTGGACTATGAGTGAACAAAATAGTTTATGTGTGTATGTGTATGTGTGTACAAATCTTTTATACTGTGTAAGAAAAATGTACATAAAATTCTTTTTCAATTAATCTTAATTGATATCTTTATGTGTATGTATGAATGAGTTTTTAAATGAATCATCTTTAAGGGAAGTTAAACGACAGATGAGATTGTTAACTATTTAGTTAGTGTACTGACAAGGGTGTACATATTTTAATGCACTATTGATTTGTCTGTTCTTTTTTTCGTGCGTCTTTGAATTATGTTATGTACCCTTGTTTATCTAGCATTATAAGCGACAGATCACTTCAATCTTCTCATTATGAATTATTACGTTGAAACGAATATCTTTTATTTTTCTGCTTGCGGTGATAGGGGAAACTCTTTCAGTCTAATGATCGGCATAATGGTAATAGTCTGTTCGTCTTGGTACTTTTTTAATCTAGGTATGTGATTATCAGGTAGCCTCAAGAAATTCTTTTCTTTTCTTTGTAGTTAGATAACTTGTGGAGTTTTTAGTTCTTTTTACAGATTTAAGTGTTCATTCTCTACTATATCCCCCCTTTAGATATATTTAGTTCATTCTTATGGGGATTTTCGACGTGTTGGTATTCATATTGTTTGGTGTCGTATTTTTGTATCTGTTTACTTCATAAAGTAAGTGATGATAGTCTATGATATCTACTGTGAATAATGTGACATCTGGTCAGGATAGGTTAAGGAAAAATTCAATTTGTTTACTTCTGTTTGATTACAACTCAACATAGTATGAGATTGCTGTGTCTGTTAACATTTTCGGTTCTTTGATCGTTCATTTCGAAAAAGTGATTCTTCCGCGGATTATAATTTCAGTGCAACATAGTCTTGTGGACTAAAACTCATATATTACTTCCTGAGACTAATTGTGACGTGGGAGTCCTGTAGCTTACCGATGAACAATGAAATAAGTAGTATAGTATTCGTCTGGTTAAGCCCTTTTATCAGCTTACTTAATCAGGAAGCATCATTCGAACAGCAACAACTTGTCTGTACTATTGTACATATATTATTTGTCACGTTTGTATGAGCATGTACGCTTGAGCATTGCTTACCGCCTACACACATATTCACCCCAATAGGTTTAATGTTAGTCACTCAAAAAATTCGGTGACTCATTTTAGTCCTACTCACTCGCTCCTCGACACTCGCATATGTTTTCGCCTGGTATGCCTGTGGTTTTTCGATCGGAATGGTGCGATAGCAATCACGTTTTGTATTCGTCTTTTGAGTTGTATACACTGTTGGAAGTTATCTAGTATCGATTATGGGGACGAGCAGTATACGAAGTCTAAGAACCATGTAGAATATACACTGCAACAGTTGCATACCAGTGTTCTTAGTTATAAATTGTATTAGTAGTGGGTTGAGTATATTCAGATAAGTGGTTATTGTTGTCTGCAGTTGCAGGAATAGCACTATCCATCCGAAATGAAAAACTAACTCCTTTAGATGTCTTACATTTCGTAAACATATAGTTCGACAACATAACAAAGCTTTTTTCTTTGGAATATTACCAGTACAATCCGTTAGAATACAGCTAGTACCTCCAGTTTTTGAACTAGCGTTAATATTTTTTCATTCAGGTTACGCGTCTGTCACTAAACTATGGGCATTTGTTACAGAAACGATCTTTTTGAAGATAAGTTTTGATCTATCTCTTCCGAGAACAGCGTATTTGGCTGAATATATCGCAATGTTGATATACCACAAGCAGTAATTTATGGAGCTTTTTTGTTACAGCAATTCTTAGTATTTAAAGTCGGTAGGTAGGTTTTATGGTCTACTTATGACAGTCCACAAACAAATAATTTTCCTCAGTCGTCCTCCTGATTCTTGGATTGCTGTTTTGTAGACAGCCCTTTGATTTTCCCAGGTAAAGGTCAATTCCTAATTTGAATCGATTTTGTCGATCTCAATCCATATCTCACTGCTTCAGAACAACCAGTATCCTATTGAATACTGTGTACGAGGATGTGTGTATATCACCAATTAATTCTCTTCTCTTGCTTTTTGCTAATTATCAGCATCTGATCTGCAGTTCACAGCGGAATTTCAAGACGGATGTGAATGACGTGGTGTCTATTATCATTTAGGTGTCCAAAATGGACATAATTTCTTCGACCATTGGCCGGAATTACCAGCATATTGAGAGATATCACAAAGAACTATGAAGGCGGCTGTGTAAAGAACTGAAAGTAATAGAAATACCGATCTCAGAGCACTTTTATAAAGTTACGAGATGAATAGATCTATTGGTTGAAATCAGTTAGGTGAGGCATTTTGACGAATAATATACTACTTCGAGGGATAACAAAGGTTAATCCCGTTACTCTAAGACGACGATTCAAGAGGAAGAAGTATGTTTAGTGCTAGCCTCGTGATATCGAAATAATATCGAGGCAAGAGGGCGTACAAACGGCTGACGTCCACTCAGCAGACGCGCGAAGGACAGAATGTGAATAACACGCTTGGCGTGTGAGAGATAGTCTTCAGTACAGATAAACAAGAGGTGTACAATATAACAATTATTTTCAGAATTAAGTACAATAATAAATGTTTATATTTCACCAATTAGGTTTTATTCGTAGAAGTATACCACTACATCAGCCCACCTAGAAAGGGTTTACGCCTTCGATACGTAGCGGTTTCGTGCGGAGGGAGACTGGTCGGCTAACTGGTGACTGTAGGGCGGAAAGGTTAACGGATAGGAAGCGGACAATGGAGCTGGAATTGTCGACGGGATTATTTTACGTTGAAATGTACCAATAGTAACGTTCCAGGTCTAGAGCTCGGGTTAGCATGCCACACCAGCGAGGCTCGTATCCAGAGTCTGATGATTGCGTTCGTAGGGGTTCGTACCAGAAAAACTGCAGACATAGGTCGTAACCAGATTGAGTGAGGGAGCCAGAAACGACCAAATTCGAAACCATATGTATGCCAGATATATTGGGCTGAGCGCGTTGACAAGAG